GCAGTCTCTCCTAATCACCCCACTCCAAAATCATCTCTCAGATTCCTTACTATGGGAGTCACTCAAAATCTTGAAGTGCAACCCCCTCCCCCCCAGTCAGGTAATACCATCTCCTGTTTCCCCATCGTTTTTTCTTCTGAGGCATCTTCTAGTGACATTTACTAGTTTTGTGATCATCTGCCCAAGGGGATCATAGCTTTTGAGGGCAGCTGGGTCCTCCTGACTGAAAGCTGCCCAATGGAAAGCCAGGTTTGGTATATGGAGTTTTATTCAGTATTAAACTTCATGGAAAACTTTGAAAGAGAAGTTTTCATTTATATTGCCTCCTGTGAGTTTTGTTCTGTATTTTCAAAACTTTGTTTGCTGTCGTTAATAGCTGCTAAAAATTACGTTAAGAAAAATTGAATACTAGGAGTTCGTTTTTAACAAATTTATTGGATAAGGGAAGGGTGTCTTATCTCAAACCTTTCATTTAAGAGCCACTGAATATTCAGTGGAAGAGTGCCTGTGGTTAGCTTTAGGCCCCTTCGCGTGGGCAGAAAAGGGAGGGAGCACTGGCCTCCCTCCTCCACTTGGGGGTCTCTAACCAGCCCTGAAGCTCAGGGTCCCTTTGGGTCTTTGAGAGACTGGGTAGAAAGCATGGGCTTGGGGCTGGAGACAATGTGGGGTGTCACGCCTCAGGGTGGCCTAGAAACCGGGCTTGTCACGAGCCCCTCCCCTCGGTGAACTCCAGGGCCCGGGGCCTTTCAGACAGGAACAGCACAACACCCCCTTCCTCGTGTTCCCTGGAAGCCCTTAATGAGCTCCTGCTACTGCTTCTCTTCTAGCTGCAGCCAGCGAGGCCTTTTAAAAGGTCACGTGCCTCTCCAATAGCCTGCTTAAAGGGCTATTGTTTCGGTGGAGAGCCTGGGGGAAGAGGCTCCGCGGAGCTGGCCACTCCGGCTTCCGCCGCCCAGCTCCGCCCGGAGGAGCCGCCTGGCTTCTTGCCCTCAGGTGCTTGAGAGGCTTGTCTTTTCCCGTTTGAATTGTGCCCGCGCCGAGGAGGTGGTCTTCATACAGCTCCAGCCGGAGCTCTCACTCGCCCTCCCGCTCCGAGCTGGAGGCCTCCTCCCAAACAGTCAGTGGGAGGACGTGATTTTGATTCTAAATAGTGTTAAGTAAACTTTGGGCAAACTGTAACTTTCTTAAAATTCATTTTAATTTTTAAGTAAAAATGTGGACTAGGTCTTATGATGTTGCATTTTATTCCTTTCTATAAAAATTGAGATAGAAATAGGATTACACATCATGAAGATAGAAATAGGATTACACATCATGATTGCGTGTATTTTGCAATCTTACTGGGTGTGTGAAGCCAGTTTTGCCTCATAAAAAGAAACAGAGAAATGAAGGCAAACCTGCTTGGAGACACATTCTGTCGTGGGTCCTTATTTACACATTTGAAAAGCATCCAAGATTCTATTTGTCTGTCTATCCCTGCTCACAGATTTTGCTTACAGGGGCTCTCCTCCTTCCCCATCCAGATTGCATTCCAAACGTCTGATGAGGCTTTTCCTAAATCATTGGGGTCACCACCCAGCTATGACCAGATGGACATTCTAATTGGAAATTAGGTGCTTCTCACGTTGAAATCTCCCTGAAAGCATCTCTTCAGCTATGGGAGTTCTGCTAAATGCCTGTAGTGCTGCATGCTTTGTAAATATCTGAGTTCCATAGATTCAGTGATTATTTCTAGAGAAATGTGAGTTATTGAGAAAATCCTGTTATTTATCCTGGCAACAAGTCGTTAAAAGGTAGTTCTATATCAATGACTAAAAGAAAAGGAAAAGTCTTACCTAAGTGTTACCTTCCTCAAGAAAGCCAGTAAAATTCAAAGTGGTGATGCACTTACTAGTTTGTTTTTACTTATGTATTTGGTTTACATTTTAGGACAGTGTTTCTAAAAGTTGCTGTGGTGAAGAACCATCTTGTTTGGTTTATTTCTCCCTCAAAGACTAATACTTTAGTAAAACACAGTGAAAATAATTGCTAGAGAAATGAAATACAAAGATGTAAAAATAGAATCCTCATTTTTTAAATTGGATTTACAGACATACAAGTACTCTTAAATTTACTATAAAAGTATCTAAATAATACAGTATCTCTACGTATCTCATCATGGACCAGGAACAGTTCACAGACTGGCACCATCTATGGACCACACTGTGAGAAACACTGTTTTAGAGTATATGTGTATGTTACGGGTCCAAAATCTGTATGCCTGGTGCTTCAAAAGGCCACATCTCAAAAGTCAGAGTTTGGAGTAAGGAAAGGTTTATTGATTGGGAAGTTGCCAACCAAGAAAGATGGGAGACGTATTGGTTCCTCAAATCCATCTTAAGAAAGTACAGAGCTCAGGCTTTTTTTATGTCAAGGGAAGGGAAGGTGGGAGGGGCAAGAGGTGATTGACCACCGAAGACATCTGGGTGCCAGCAAGGGTCTGAGGAAGATCGTGCTTAGTCTGTTGACCCTAGTTGATGTGAGTCCGGTCAGGAGGTTCCTGCAAATCTTTGATGAACCATTCCCTTATCTCCTTGGGAGAGGCACCTCCTGGTGAGGCACTGTTTTTGTAAAACTCAGGCCACAAGCAGGATTCCTCTAATGATTAGCATGTCCATATGCAAGACTAAGCAGATGCTATTAGCCTGAAGGCCATGGGAGCAAAACAGGCTTGAACAAGATGGGGTTAGAGAGGCCAGCCTTTCATTCTGGTGCATGCATGCATCTATATACTCTGTCACATGTTTAAATGTCTTAGGTCTGATCACATTATAATATATAACACAGATCATCTAACAGCTTTATATGAGAATTAAATGCACTTAGCTCTTTGGCAAAAGTGGGATTTCTCTGGAAATATTTAGATGCTTAAATTGTAAGCAAATACAAATAGTATAATTTTGAATCCAGTTATCTGTTTCAAAACACAATTGTCCGGTAACACTTCTAAAGGCATAAAGTGTTTTGTAATGTGAAACGAAATCACTTCCTCTCTGATTCACACTCAAGTTTGAATGGGCACAGATACTTTAGAGAGGAAATGTTCTATGCAAAGTATATATACAACTGTATAAACAGTAGGAAATGTTTCTGTCATGTGAGGTTTTAGATAAGCAAGTGGTTACTATCTTACCTTCCTGGCCTTGGGGAACAGTTCATTATGGGACTGGTCTTTGGTTCTAGTGACTGACAGCCATTTTCTTAATGTTTATAAAATGTAGGAAAGTGTTTCACATAAGTAGCTCCACATTTTTATGAGCATTAACAAATTCTTGAGCTGATTCTGACATTGAGTTGCAACTGTCTTCGTCTTTCTCTCCTGGAGACTGCGGCACAGGAAGGTAGTCACCCCAAGTGGGACTTGTGTGCCAGGCTCTGTGACCACCTGCCTATCTGCCCACCTCAGGGGGCAGCGTGGCCTTCTTTAACAAAGTGCTGGAAGGAGTTTCTGTGCAGTTTTATTATGGTTAGCCGTACTCCTCTAGGATGAGACTCATCATTCAAAATGATAATGAGGTATAGGAGAAATTATTCAGCTCCTTGAAGACCAGGCTTTATTCCTCTGAGGGACCCACTTCCTGGCAGAGTGCCCAAGACAGCACAGATGCAGAATAAGTTATAAGGGCTTGAATGAGGTGCCATCCAAATCAGCTGAAACAATGCAGTAAAAGGAAAGCCACCTTTAGAAGAAAAACTGAATAGCTACAAAGCTCTTGCTTGTACATGAAGATATCAGAAAGAGTGAGTGGCATGAGGAGAGAGTTACCACGTGTCCATGGGTAAGTGTTGTAGGGAGGGTGAGAGAGCAAGCACGGGCTTGGTGTAATTAGAGCCACGTCTCCCCGTCTGGGTGACATAAGGATAACTTTCTTGATTAAGTAGTTAGAAAGTAAGGTTTATGAGGCAAAGGCCAATGGACTTGCTATTGTTCTGTTTAGATGAGAGAAAGGACCACTGTTCAGAAGGTGCGGCTGGCTGAAGGTGTCTTGACGGAGGCCAGGGCAGGGGAGGCGGTGCCTCGGCCTACGCTGGGAGGGTCAGGCAAGGTGGGCAGAGGGCAGGAGCTAAAATCTAACCCATTCCCAAATGCTCATGGTCTGAGATAGGAGATTGGTTTTTCTTTGAAATACATATATATCTCTGGAGTCACAGTAAGTATTTTGTTAAGAAATGTCTCAAGTACCCAAACAGCAATGCTTATAATCAGAGCAAATTACTTTCCAATTAGTCCAGTTGCATTCAGACCTAACTGTGTGCAGTGAAATTGAGCCGTGGAAAAACTTGGGCTGGGAAACCCACATTCCTCCATTTGATTCTAGACTGAAAAGCGGTGGCAGCGCAATCACTGTGGTCATTTACCACAGGCCAAGTGCTTCACCACGTGTCACCAAACAGACAGAAAGGCTCTATGCATAATGAGGAAGGAAAAGGCGTTTGGAAAGCACACACAGTTCTACCCAAATTGTACACGGCCCCTCTTCTCCAAGTTGGTTCTTTTAATCGTTCAAGATGTGTTCAAGCTGTAACCCATGACACCTTTATCTGTCTAGGTCATAGCATCCTAAGTGTTTTCTTGGGCTTTAAAAATAAATCCATTTAGGGGAGGAAAACTGAACCTGCATGGCAATGTTAGGCAAGCGCAGGAGCTGAGAAAGTCAAAATCATGGTTTCCATGGTAACGTTGAACTTGTCTGGGTCATACACATTTCCCAAGAAATACATTCACCAGACTACAGAGTGATAAAAATTGCTCCATGGGCATACAAAAGTAGATCTCTCTCCCCCCCCCCAGTTCTCTTCTTCTAAGAAATCTTCCCCCAGTTAACCCATCTGTTCTAACAAAGCCCGGGCAAGGAACTAGCACAAGTCCACCTCCGTCTGACCTCAGAACCAGCGTCCTTTTTACGGTAGCAGTCAGCGTCCCTGTGATTAATTCCATGGCCTTCCTCTCCCCTTTGCAGATATATGTTGGGTAAAGGAGGAAAACGGAAGTTTGATGAGCATGAAGATGGGCTGGAAGGCAAAATCCTGTCTCCCTCCGACGGTCCATCCAAGGTGTCTTACACCTTACAGCGCCAGACTATCTTCAACATTTCCCTTATGAAGCTCTACAACCACCGGCCCCTCACAGAGCCCAGCTTGCAGAAGACCGTGTTGATCAACAACATGCTGCGGCGCATCCAGGAGGAGCTCAAGCAGGAAGGCAGCCTGCGGCCGGTGTTCGCCCC